TCCATCTGGCGGAGTCAGGTTACCTGGTTACTGCCTGACCTGCCGAATGAAGATGTGACACAAAGTATGAAGTTGGAAAAGATCTGAAAGCACATATTACACCCTGATCCAAAGAGTCAAAACAGATAACAAGCAAAGTCACTGATATCTATCAGTCTGTAAAAGTTTATAAAGACTCCAAAGACCCACAATTTTAGCCATTATATACAGTAGTAGCCAATCAAAACTTCCCCACTTTCCTTGATCTGGCTGGTCCTTTGCCCTATCCCCTACAATTCCTTTTTAAGCATCAATCTTTGTACCTAAGTTTTCTGTCATAATTTGAGGACATTAAGATCTAAAGAGAAACAGGATCTCCTAATCAGACCCTGTAATTCAGTAAAAGGGTGAAGTGAGAGTAAAAAAATATGCATAACGCTGGAAGTTGGAGGGAAGTGTGCTGCCATTCGTCTGCCGTTTGACTGGGAAGCGCCTTTTTGAATGGCTGCTACTGTATAAATTTTCACCTCTAAGGTACAGTATTGTCAATTGTTTAATAGACTGACATTTCTGTCGTTCTGACTGAATATTGCTTTAGTAACAGTCTAGTCCCTTCCATCACAAAATATGAAAGAAATTACTCAGTATTGCCTGTTCTACTGTATAATCACAATCTGAATTATTTGTTTAAAACATAGTATGTGGTCCAGTCTAAGTTCTAGTAAGAGCAAACTAGATTGAAAAAGAAATTTGTGGGGGAAACAACTGCCGCTTACCATGAAGAACTCAGACAACAGCTGTCTTTTGGAAGAAAACACCCTAAAAATAGGTTCCATTTATTGTAAAAGTGAATTTTATTGGAAAAGAGTTTGTTTTGCCATTTGAAAACAACCCCACACTTACAGTCGTACATGGTGGTGGTAGTGTAGTGGTCTGGGACTGTTTACCTTCCCTAGGGACCTGGTAACATCTAACCATCAGTTGATTACTTGAAGCATAATCGGGCAATTTTCTGAAATCCATTGACAAAAGTCCAAACAAATGAAAATGTGTTTTTTCCCGTGGCCTAGTCAAAGTCCAAAGTTCTTGACACTCAAGGTCACTTTACAAGCATTAGATTCTGTAGAATTACTTAAAAATTATTTCCTCCAATGTGGATTAATTTCAAAAGTCCCCTCAAAGTTATGCAAAAACACGCCTCCACTCAGTTATTCGATTAGCCAACTGGTTCATTTTCTTAATTATTAAATAAAAGCTAAATACATTCAAGCAGTGGTGTCAAAAGTACACACATTTGTTACTATCTGCCGGCTTCCGTAGCGTCGTGAACGCGCATGTGCGCGCTTTCAGGAAATCCTATACACTACTGTTTATGCTCTAAAAACATTCTAAATGACTTCGTTTCGAGTAAATTCTGGATGCTACCCTCTCAGGACACTTGGAATACATTGGACGAGCAGTATGGAGGAATATTGACACGTTTTTTGTGGACTTTTATGGACCTTTCTGCCTCGGGCGCCATAGACCTCCATTATTTGAATGTCAGCAGACAGCAAGAAGCCTCCCAGATCTCCAGATGCATTTGAGATATCAAAAAAGTACTCCAGAGTGTTGTTCAGCATGGGGGTGAGTAGAAAATGAAGGCTAATCATGTTTTGGGTGTACTATTCCTTTAAGTAGAAGTATAGAAACACTCTGGTAAAAGTTGAAGTATCAACTTGGCCTCTTTACTCAAGTAAAAGTGAAAAAGTATGTGCTCCAAAAACAACTTTGTATAAAAGTATAAAAGTATAAAGTAACCTGAAAAAAAACAGCCAGGTGCCACTATATGAATTGAAAGCTTAATTTTTCCACTATTTTGAAAAATTCTCTGAGATAGGGCCAAGGATGAGGGAGGTCTTTTTGGTCTCCATCTCCCGATACGCTCTCGCCTGTGTCCGACCTTTCAGACATTTCAACATCTTTTTCTGAATCCATCATTGTAGCATGGAAGACAATTCACGTTTGCACTTTGAAGAACAGCTGCTTGCTTCTGATTATTTCCTTTGGCGTCAGTACAAATTTGACAAATAGCTAAACAATGAGTGTTTGTGTTATATGACTCATCCCATGACACTAGTTTTCACTAGATGTGGATGGAGCCAATGATCTGCGTTGGATGGCGCACATGACTAGAAATAAATATTTAGAAACATTAAACCAAAGCCAAGAGTAATAGAATAGAAAGTACAGATACTTGTGTGAAGATGTAATGAGTAGAAGTCAGAAGTAGGAAGAAAAATAAGTAATGGAGTCAAGTATAGATACCTAAAAAGTGTACCGGTACTTAAGTGCAGTAGTGAAGTATTTGTCCTTCGTTACTTGACATTCAAGTATAACAAAAGAAATCTGTACAGAGTGGAAAAACTTTTTCTCCAAACGATGAAGGTTTTAACAAGGTCATAAACAGAGTCCATGCCATATTTTTGCTATCTACTTTACAGCTTTTTTACAGCAGTTTTGAGTCTTGATGCAAAAATGATTTCTCAGCATTAAATCCAGTTATTGCAAACAATAAATATTTTCACTGTTAAACTGTCCTCTAGTGACGTAGCCTTGTCTCTTTCCTGCTTGGCCTTGATCACAAGACTTTTGTTTCTCTGATCTGAACTTTTTTTAACCGACCACAGGTTCTCAGGTTTTTTAATATGAAATTTGAAAGACAGATTAGAGGGGTGTTAAATCATATTTTATCACTGAAGGCAGCTGGCAGAACTAAAATCCCCTCTGTCAAGTCTACTGTTTTAAACACTGATTCATTCTTTTATTTTATCCCGGCTGGATTCCTGTAATGGTCTTTATGTTGGAGTTAATCAGTCTCTGCTCTCTCGTTTGGAACTGGTTCAAAAAGCTGCTGTGTGTCTTTCAACAGGTACTGCAAAAAAAAAAAAGGTGCATATTACCCCTATTCTGGCCTTCCTCCGGTGGCCCTCTCTGTATTTCAGAGTCAATTTTAAGATTTTAAATTTTTGTTTTTAAGTGATTGAATGACCTTTCCCCGCTGTACCTCTAGTAGGCTCTTCAGCTCTATTCTTCCTCTCGGCCAATCAGGTCAGCTGACCAGCAGCTCCTGCAGGTACTGAGGTTTAAAGCTCCAGTGTGTAATAATCACAGGGATTTACTGACAGATGTAAAATATTATACATAGGTAGGTTATTTATTATCATCTTTGAACTGGAAGTCCCAATCTTTATGTTTTTGTTGCCTTAGAAATTGCTGTTTATAATAACGTAGGAGCAGGGACGGATTTAGGAAATTTGGGGCCCCAGGCAAAGACAGGCAGGGGGCCCTCTGAACTGAGAAGACAGCACATAAAACAGACCCATTATACAGATGTTTTATTAAAATAGACATACATTATTTGTTCTAGGTTTTGTCCCTCTCTTCTTGTCCCTTTTCTTGTTGTTTTCCTCTCTATGTTTGTACTCTTTCGAGAAGTGGTCTGAAGCGAGAGGCATGGTTGTATGTTCAAAAATATACCTTTCCCCAGATCTCCTACTGCACCTTTAACCATACATGTAAACAGAGTTTTATGGTGCCCCCAGGAACTTGGGGCCCTAGGCAACTGCATAGTATTGCCTAATGGTAAATCCGCCCCCGCGTAGGACCAGGTCTCGCATTTATGGAGGCAGACATCTTTGTACTATGGCAGCTCATAGCTGACAAACTAGTGACAGTAGAAATCGCCATTGCGCTCAAATGTGACTGCAGCTGTATAGAGTAACACCAGCAGTAACTTTAGTGCTTAGAGCTTTAAATAAAACATGTTGAATTAGGATTTTTCATATCACACAGACCATGTAGGTCAGGCAT